AATAAGAGGGACGACGACGAGACGCCGACGACGGACCACGATGACGACGAGGGAGGAGGAGGAAGGACGACCACGGCGACAACGACGACGGAAACGACCACGACGCCAAAGAGGACGACGACGACGAACACGAGGAAAGACAGAGGACGACGTAGGCGATGACGACGACGACGACGACGACGACGCGGGAGGAGGCAGGACGGCGACGACGACGACGACGCAAGAGCGCAAGAGCGCGCGCGCACGCTTTTGTTGAAAATCCGCGTTGCGAAACTTTATGTTCTAGTAGGTTTATCGGACACACGATTGTGAAATTCTTCCGAAACCGATGGGTTTTGAAGGATTTCGGCATGCGCGCGCGACGACGCGCGCGTCTGCACTTCGTCCCGTTTTTTGCAAAGGATTCTCGCGACGGCACACGCGCAAGGGCGTTCGACAGATTTCGATATGCGCGCGCGAAGTCCGTTTGGTAGCATTTTGTGAAAATCTTGAAAACCTATGGTTTCCTGAAGATTTCGGAAGAGCTCGCGCGTAAGCTTTTTTAGCAAATAAGTGTTGCGAAACCTTGTGTGTTCGTATGTGTTGTGGAAACTCGATTGCGAAATCCTTCCAGCACCGACGGTTTTGGAAGGATTTCGGCATGCGCGCGCGACGACGCGCACGTGCGCACTTCATCCCATCTGTTGCAGGGGATTCGTGAAAAAGGTGCTATGTTAGAACCAAAGATGTCCCCGCGCATCGTTTGTTTTTTATTTGGGAACCTTAGGGGGGTCGATCCCGGCCCCCCTGGGATAGTGTAATTTCATATTTCGGATGGACATTTGGTCAGAATCATATATGATTTACATACCCGAAAGGGGGGGATAATGCCAGGGGGGGGTAGAGTCTATTTTAGAAAGGAGAATCTGCGTGGTGCAACCCATGTCGTACAACCTGTGTGGTGCAATCGGCGTGGTGCAATACGCGTGGTGCAGTCTATGTTGTGCGATCTGTGTGGTGCCATCTATGTGGACGTCGACGGGCCCAGGCGAGGGGCGTCGACGAGGCGGCGACAAGGCGGCGCGGCGGGGCGGCGACAGCAACCACGGAGCCCCCAAATCGCAAGCCAGGCCTTAGACAAAGCAGCAAGAACCCCTGAGGGAACGCAGCCAGGCCCAGAAGCAGCGGCGACGGACGGCGGCGACCGCGACTACGTAGCCGCCAGACCGACCCGCAGGCCCAGACGACGGGCGGCAACGAGGCGGCGACGGAGCGGCGACGGCGACAGTATAGCCGCCAGACCGACCCGCAGGCCCAGACGACCGACGGCGACGGTGCGGCGACGGCGACCATACATCCCGAGGACGAAAGTTTTCCTCTTGGGCCCGGAACGACGGCTTCAAGCTTTGTGCAAACGCGCATGAGATAACCGCCGTCGGATCCCGTGGAGTTCGCACGGATCCAATTGTGGTTTTGGCGTTTGCTTCGGTGGATCCGATTTCGGATTTGCTGGATCCGTGTTCGGTACCATTTGTTACGGCGGATCCGATTTTTACCCCGTTCTAAATGTCATATTATTAACTAAAACGGGGAACCGGAAGAAATCGGATCCGCGGACCCCAGAACCCGCCCGTGTTAAAATTCTACGGGGGAAGGGGGTTCGGTCATTATCTTCCAAGTCATCATCGCCATTTGCACCTCAAGAGGAAAATCTTTGGTCCTGCGTAAGTGTATCCGCCAGACCGACCTGCAGGCCCAGTTCCGTAGACCACAAGTAAGAGGGCCTAAGTGGAAGCATCATTTGGGAAATATTGTTGCATGGTCCGCGATTGCTTTGAGAAGCTTCCGCAGCTCCTGATGCACTCGTCGGTTCCCCATCCCCTCCTCATCATCCCTCTTCCTTCCATCCCCCCCTCCGAGCTCCATCCTCCCTTCATCGTTCATCTTCACTTCATCGTTTACATCCCTCCTCATCTCTGCGTTTACTATCATCATCCTCTTCCCTCCAGTATCATTCGCCACCCTCCTGCTACTATCCCTCCCACTCTCCTCCATCCGTTTAATCGGTCTTTCCGCACATGGTTTTCCAAACGCGGGCGTATACACAAGCGCCATGGTTGTATGAGTGTTGCGCCATACGCCTACAGCATGACATAGATTAGCTGATTGGCGCACATAGGCTGCCTATATACTGTTGATGTGAGTCGCCTTGATCATTGAATTCATCGAGTTGGGCGGAGCAGTGTCTCACTCGTTTGCGGGATGAGTCGACAGCAAAAGGTTCATGTTTCGTTCGTTGTGCGGAGGCGATGTTTGGGCGTCAGCGCAAGAGTTGGCGAACACATTGAGGCGCATTCAAAGGGAAATCCAGATCAGTGTCGCCGTCAGGGCGGGGGATACTATCTGTGCGTTTCGGGTTGTTGGGGTGAAGCGCGCAACAAGGGAAGCCCTAGAAAAAAAGATGGCAGCGTAAACGCGCCCGATGAGATCCAGACTCGTGCAGGCGTAGCCTGCAGTAGTTGCGGCAATGTTTGGCGGGCGAGGCGCTGCAGGCACACCGCGACTTCGCGCGGGAGCAAATCGAGGGGAGAAGGCGATCGAGCGGGCCGCGGATGGGATCGTTCAGCATGGCGAAGTGCTATGCGGAGTCGAACGCATGAATCAGAGCTTGTTGCGCCTGTGGTGTTGTGAGATTGTGGCAGTCCGTGCGAGAAGAGTGCATCGGCCCCGCCATGCCGCTCATTCTTCAGCGGCCGTCGTTTTGGCAGCGCGCACCTGTCTCATCTGGTTCTCACCACGCATGGTTGCCCCACTCGTCGGTGATGGCCAGAGGGGTGTCGAGGTGCTCGTTGCGGGTCGCGCTTGCATGTCGTCTACTCGACGTGGCGTGCGTGTTGATCTCGTTGCATCGGTGCAGCTCCCCGTCTGTTTGCATCGTCGTCCTCCTCTTGCCGTTCCCCCCTCTTCCAGAACATCTTCCTCCATGATTTCCTCTTCCGCGTCACCCCCTCCCTTATTGCTCTTTCTTCTCGCCCTCCTCCTCCTACTTGTCACCCTCGTCCCCGAAAATTCGGCACAGGCCACACGGATGGAGGGCGTCTCGTGCTCGGAATGTGGCCCTCGCTTGAGGCTGCGTCGAGTTTCAATCAGCTCAACGATTACACAAAAAGGAGCTCTCGCTGCAGAGGTTTTGTTGGTTCGATGATCACATCCCTTGGCACTTCGTATACGCAGCGTGGCTGGAGGAGTAGAGGGCGGATTCTTTTCAAATGCCGCTCTCGCATGCAGACTGGGCCAAAGTACACCTTGTATTTCAAGGTCGTGCTTCCACCAAGGAAGGGAATAGTTGTGGGTGCTTTGTGATGTGGAGTGGACTTGGGACGGGAGGGTTTGCTGCAGCACTGTTGGCACTCTTTGGGTTCATATTCGTTTTCCTCATCATCCTTCTCCACCCTCCTCTCCCTTTTATCTTCCCCCTCCTTTGCCCCTCCTCCTTCCCCCCTCCCCTCCCCCTTCTGGCCTTCCTTTTTCCTCCTCCACCCCCTCCTCCGCAATGACTCAATATGAAAACTTCCTCTCTCCCCTGAGTCTGTGGCGGCATCTGTCTCGGAGTGTTCGGCCCCCCTCGCGCATGGTTTTCCACAGGATGTCGGCGAGTTGGGTTTTCGATTGTGTTTTTGTTCGAAATGCTGATCTCGCTGTGGCGCTGACCTAATTTTCTGGCTTCCGCTCGTTCCCGCTGCAGCGTTGGTTTCATTTCCGCGCTTCCGCTCTGTCCGAATCGTGATCCCGCTGCAGCGCTGGCCTTATTTCCGCGCTTCCGCTCGTTCCGAATCGTGTTCCCGCTGCAGCGCTGGCGTCATTATTTCCAGCGCCATACCACGGCATGGTCTCCGGTCCATACGAATAGGATCCCAAAACTAGAAAATGAGATCTACGCCATGGTAAGGGATGGGAGGGAGGGGTAGGACGTCAGATATGACGCGAGCGCACCTAGCTTGTCGCCTCCCTCTCCCGCCTCTCCCCATCCCCCCCTCCTCCTCCTCGCTTACCCATCTCTCCGCGACCCTCGCCGCGACCCTCAAGGAGTATTTGGAGACCTTCAGAGGCCGTCGTCGTCGTCGTTATATTCGTCCTCTCTGTCGTATCAGTCCTCTCTGTCGCCCCCGCAAATCCGACGTATTGATTTTGGCCATGAGGGCCCCCGAAAGTCCCGACCCCTTGCCCAGGGCAAGTTTTTCGTACCGGGTCGTTTTCTGACGGCCCCCGGGGCCGGCGAGAACCCCCAGAGGCCGAAACCGACGAAAACAATCCACACTGATTCTTGCTAAAACGTCTGTCGGGGGACAGCAAGATACCGATTTCTGGTAGACTCCCCCCCTCGGGGCGCGTTCTGACCAGCACTTCGAGGAGAACCCGGCCGTTGCCGCGAGGGCTCCAGGACGAGCAGCGGCATCGGCATTTCTTTTCCGAGGAGAAAAGCATGGCCCAGACGTGCAAGTTTCGGAAGTCCACGCTGATTTCTTGGATCGGCACTGGACCCCCCTCTCCTGGCGGGCGGAGCGCGCCAGGGGTGGCACCGGAGGCGCCGCCAGGGGGCTCCAGCGCCGATGCGAGAAATCCGCGCGGAACGCCGAATGCAGTTCTTGTCGGTTCCTGTTCCTCCTTGAGGAATGCCTCCAGGAGGTATTCCGTGACATGAGCATTTTGCCGTGGCGGAGTGTTCTTCGCCCAGAAGGTTCTTTCAGCTCTCTCTGAGGGAGAAAAGGGAAGGGGACGGGGAGAGGGAGGGGGAGGGGGAGGGGGAGGGGGAGGGGGAGGGGGAGGGGAGGAGGAGGAATAGGAGGAGGAGGAGGAGGAGGAAAAGGAAAAGGAGGAGGAGGAGGAGGAAGAGGAGGAAGAGGAGGAGTTCTCGTCGTCGTCCTCGCTGGGCGAGAGAGAGAGAGAGAGAGAGATATATATATATATATATAGAAAAAAGAGAGAGAGAGAGAGAGAGAGAGAGAGAGAGAGAGAGAGAGAGGCGGAGCGCCGCGCGGGCGGCGCGCCGTGCGTGCCGCTGGCGCGCGGGTGGGTGCCGCAGCCGCTCCCGCGGCTGGCGCTGGTGCTCGGGTCGGAGGGCGACGGGGTGTCGGAGGACCCCCAGCCCACGGGCGCGGCCGGGAGGAGAGAGGAGGGGCAGCGAGGGGGGATCTTCCGACCCAGATCAATCCAGACCCGGGTCAGTCAGGCCTTGCTGAATCCTGCAAGATCCTGCACCCAAGGTCAGTGCGAAGGATCCTGCAAGATCCTGCGGGATTGTGCACCCAAACCCGGGTCAGTGCGACCCTGGAGCTGCAGGATCCTGCAGGATCCGGCGCTCTGGCTGACCCCCCTTTGCATTGACCCCCGTCTCTTGAGCCCCGAAGCGAGAGGGGGAGCGGGCGGGGGTAGGCCCCAGGGGGGGAGGCGTCGACCCGTGAGCGCCCACCGATCGCCGATGATGGGGGGCCGAGAAGCCCACCCCGCCCAGGAAGGTGCAGTTTCTCGCCCATCGGGGGCCCATCGGTCTCGCCATCGAGGGGGGTCCCTTCTGACTCCTGCTCACCGAGCTGAGGGCCACACGAGCCTCCCTCGGCCGAGCGCCAGCGCTCCACGAGGCGGAAGCCCGTGTGCCCGTGGCTCGCGCCCAGCTGTTGCGCCAGGCGGCGCGGCGGCGGCGGCGCGGTGGGGAGAGACCGAGGCGCCGCGGCCACGCGCGAGAAGGGGCGCGGGAGGGAGGCAGGGCAGGAGAGGCTGTGTCCGGTAGGTGGAGCTTTTTGTGGCCAGGGGCCCGAGACCAGAACCCCAACGCCAGGGGTCCCTCTTGGTGACGGGGCGGGGGGTGGACTCAAAATATGGATCTATTTAACGACTCTGGTTTCTTACGTTTTTCCGTACAACAGAGCAGACGTATGCGATTAGGTTGAGAAGAGAAACTGTTTTCAGATACAACGACAACCAGTGTGAACATACGCGCTCAAGTTGCGAAAGAGCAATGATACCTACATCGCAAATGCTGGGCGCTTGCGAATAATCCTTGCGTTGGAGGGCAGCAGGGTCTGGTCTACTGATTCGTTCACTGTTATTGCATGTCTCATGCGGGGTGGGGGCCCACTCGGGTGCCCCATGAGCCTTCCGGGGGGGAGGAGGACTCGGGCGGCGCAGGCCCCCCGATCGCAGCCCCGTGTCTTCCGCCTTCTGGTGCTTTGCCTCACTGAGAGTCTCCTGGCTTGCAGCAGCTTGCGCGGCGAAGCGTAGCCCCAGCGCCCAAGCAGTGGGAAGAGAAAGAGAGAGAGAGAGAGAGAGAGAGAAAAGGGCGGATTGGCGGCGCGGAAAGCGTGACCCTTCGCTGGAGTGGCCCTTGGTGCGGGCCCGCGCTGGTCCCGCCAGCATTGGCCGACGCGCTTGGGTTGCGTGGACTTGGCTCCACACTCGGCCCCCGCGCGGCCCTGCAAAGCCGCGCACCAAAGGTCACTCTTGCCATGGGTCGCTCCAGCGTGCAGCCGAGGGGAGGGGGGCGGAGGAGGGCGCGGGGTTGGGCGGGAGAGGCGGGGTGGCTCACACACCCCGGCCGCGCCCCCACCTCCGCCGTGTTCCGCTTCCCTGCTTGCTCTCTCCCCCCCCTCCTGTCTCCCTCCTTGAAGCAGGCCTGGCCTGCAAGACACCGATCAGAAGTCCTACGAGAACAACAACTGTGGTGGATTGTAGACTCTTGTTGGGAAAAACCAAGAATATGGAATGGACTTGGGGCGTTTTCTTGGAGGCGGTTCCCCGTTGAATTTTTACATTTGTGGATTCGGATTACTCTTTGAGGAATCGATTCGAGTGAAGTCCGATTTCCGAACGTAAAAGTTGTCTGAACTCCAGGGTGCGGCGCGCGTGATGGAGCGCAACCCCACTGCTCGGGGCGGCTTCCCAAGAAGGGGAGAGTTGGGGGGCTGCCGGGCTGCCCTTGGGCGAGACGCGATGGAGGGAGAATGGGAAGAAGGGGGGGAAAGGAGGAGGAGAAGGAGGTGGAGGAGGAAGAGGAGGAGGAGAAGGAGGAAGAGAAGGAGAAGGAGGAGAAGGAGAAGGAGAGAGGAGGGAAGAGAAAATAGGGTGAGGAGAGAGACAAGCATAGTGCGCTTGCTCTATATATGACATCCGGCCCCTCTACCCGATCACGCCAATCCCTTCCCATTGCGTTGGTTTTCTGTACACACAGTTGCGAGCCATACTGCATTGATGTATACAGATGCCCACATGTATAGACGTGTGTGCAGGTATGTATGCGTGCATGGGTGCAGGTGTGTATGTTTGTATGTGTGTATGTATGCATGGGTGCATGTGTGTATGGTACCCCCCTCACACAGGGACCTATGTCATTATGCCTCTTTCTTCTTCGCCTCGTCGTGTAAGTGGAGGAGGAGGAGGAGGAGAGGAGGAGGAGGAGAAGCAGCAGCATAATAAAGTAACAGAAGGATGGAATGAGGAGAAGGATTGCATCAAAGGAGGAAAACGGAGGAAGGAGGAGGAGGAGGCTCCCGCCTGAGAGGTCCCCAAAAAATTAGCCTGGCGAAGGACCCAACCATATGCAACTGTGAATACCGCAAGTGTGAATATCGTTTTCGGCGGCGCTACCTCTGGGTAGTGGAGACGCATGCGAAAACCCCCCACTGGGGCCTTCGGTGGAGTTCCCTATGGGGCTACGAAACGCTGCCCTGGGTGGGGGAACCGCATGCAGGCAGCCCCACTGGGGCCTTCGGTGGAGCTCCCTGTGGGGCCACGAAACGCTGCCCTGGGTGGGGGAACCGCATGCGGGCACCCCCACTGGGGCCTACGGTGGAGCTCCCTCTGGGGCTACGAAACGCTGCCCTGGGTGGGGAACCGCATGCGGGCAGCCCCACTGGGGCCTTCGGTGGAGCTCCCTCTGGGGCTACGAAACGCTGCCCTGGGTGGGGGAACCACATGGGGACACCCCCACTGGGGCCTTCGGTGGAGCTCCCTCTGGGGCTACGAAACGCTGCCCTGGGTGGGGGAACCGCATGTGGACACCCCACTGGGGCCTTCGGTGGACCCTACGAAACGGCGTGGGGGAACCGCATGTGGACACCCCCACTGGGGCCTTCGGTGGAGCTCCCTATGGGGCTACGAAACGCTGCCCTGGGTGGGGGAACCGCATGTGGACACCCCCACTGGGGCCTTCGGTGGAGCTCCCTATGGGGCTACGAAACGCTGCCCTGGGTGGGGGAACCGCATGTGGACACCCCCACTGGGGCCTTCGGTGGAGCTCCCTATGGGGCCACGAAACGCTGCCCTGGGTGGGGGAACCGCATGTGGACACCCCCACTGGGGCCTTCGGTGGAGCTCCCTATGGGGCTACGAAACGCTGCCCTGGGTGGGGGAACCGCATGTGGACACCCCCACTGGGGCCTTCGGTGGAGCTCCCTCTGGGGCTACGAAACGCTGCCCTGGGTGGGGGAACCGCATGTGGACACCCCCACTGGGGCCTTCGGTGGAGCTCCCTCTGGGGCTACGAAACGCTGCCCTGGGTGGGGGAACCGCATGTGGGGGCTACCCGAAACGCTGCCCTGGGTGGGGCCTTCGGTGGAGCTCCCTCGGGGCTACGAAACGCTGCCCTGGGTGGGGGATGTGGACACCCCCACTGGGGCCTTCGGTGGAGCTCCCTATGGGGCCACGAAACGCTGCCCTGGGTGGGGGAACCGCATGTGGACACCCCCACTGGGGCCTTCGGTGGAGCTCCCTATGGGGCCACGAAACGCTGCCCTGGGTGGGGGAACCGCATGCGAACACCCCCACTGGGGCCTTCGGTGGAGCTCCCTATGGGGCTACGAAACGCTGCCCTGGGTGGGGGAACCGCATGTGGACACCCCCACTGGGGCCTTCGGTGGAGCTCCCTCTGGAGCTACGAAACGCTGCCCTGGGTGGGGGAACTGCATGTGGACACCCCCATTGGGGCCTTCGGTGGAGCTCCCTATGGGGCCACGAAACGCTGCCCTGGGTAGGGGAACCGCATGCAGGCAGCCCCACTGGGGCCTTCGGTGGAGTTCCCTCTGGGGCTACGAAACGCTGCCCTGGGTGGGGGAACCGCATGTGGACACCCCCACTGGGGCCTTCGGTGGAGCTCCCTCTGGGGCTACGAAACGCTGCCCTGGGTGGGGGAACCGCATGTGGACACCCCCACTGGGGCCTTCGGTGGAGCTCCCTCTGGGGCTACGAAACGCTGCCCTGGGTGGGGGAACCGCATGTGGACACCCCCACTGGGGCCTTCGGTGGAGCTCCCTATGGGGCTACGAAACGCGAGAGAGGTGTGCCGAGAGCAGAGGCAAGGAGGGGGAGGAGGGAGGAGGGGGAGGAGGAAGGAGAGGAACGCGGGGCACCGTCTCTTCAAAACGAGGGCCCAACACCACAGGATGGTTGGGAAAAAACAGGAGGAGGCTCCCACTTGAGAGGTCAAAAAAAACACAGGATGAGGCTCCTCCCTGAGAGGTCAAAAAAAGGGGAAGCTCCCGCCTGAGGGGTCCCCAAAAAACCCAAACAGATGGAGGTTCCCGCTTGAGAGGTCCCCCAAAAAATCAAAGAAACCCAAACACCATGCCTCTCATCTCTGTAGCTGTCCCAAAAAACATCATTTAAAAAAGAAGAAAAATATTCCAGAGGAATTGGCGGCCCTCGTCAATGCATCTGGGGCAGCGGCGTCGGATCTCTCCTGGAACTTTTTTTTTTTTCCTTCTTGGACACTTGCAGGGATGAGAGGCATGATGTTTGGGTGTCTTTGGGTTTCTGGGGGACCTCTCAGGCGGGAACCTCAATCTGTTTGGGTTTTTTCTGGGACCTCTCAGGCGGGAGCGTTCTTCTGTTTGGTTTTTTGGGGGACCTCTCAGGCGGGAGCCTCATCTTGTTCGTTTTTTTTGTCGGGGACCTCTCAAGCGCGAGTTTCCTTTTGTTTACTTTTTGGGGATCTCTCATGCGAGACTTTCGTCTTGTTTGGGTTTTTGGGGGACCCCTCAGGCGGGAGCCTCCTTTTGTTTTGGGGGGACCTCTCAGGTGGGAGCTTCCTCACAGTGAGTTGTTTGGCAACCTTTCAGGCGGGAGCCGGCGTTGATGGTAACGGAGTTGTCCAG